AAAAAGAAGCACGGACATCCCTGGATAGGGCGGGATATTCGACGCTTACTAAGACAAAAGAAGAAATGCTGGGATGTTGCCATCCGCCTTGGCACAGCGGGTACGATGGAACGCTACAGATCGATAAGAAACGAGTGTATAACTAAAATTCGGGAAGCGCAAAGAAAATATGAAATGCAGCTGGCAGAATCTGCACTCAAGCAGCCCAAGAGGATATTCTCGTACATAAACTACAGAACAAGGATTCATCATTGGATTCCCAACCTAATTAAAGTAGGAAGTGAATCTGAAATGATAGAGGAAGATCAGGAAAAAGCTGAGGTTATGGCTGACTACTTTGGGGCAGTTTTCACTCAGGAACCTCCTCTAGAGAAAGAACCAGACCCAATTACAGAGTCAACAAACCAGCTGCTCACCGTGGACTTCGACCAAAACGATGTGCTTAAGGCTCTTAGCACCCTAAACATGGAGAAGTCAACAGGACCAGATGAACTACACCCTAAAATCTTGAGACATATTGCCCAATATATCGCAGCCCCACTGACTGTGATATTCAAAATGTCACTTGACCAAGGTGTGTTACCTATGGACTGGAAGGACGCAATCGTCACTCCCATACATAAAACAGGTCTACGACAAGTTCCATCAAATTACAGACCCGTAAGCCTCACCAGTGTTGTAATTAAAATACTGGAAAGAATAATCAAACGGACCATAACAGCATTTATGGAAACCAATAACTTGCTGAACATGGCACAACATGGTTTTAGAAAGGGTCTATCCTGTACAACGAACCTCCTTATAGCTAGGGAGCTCTGGATTAATGCGCTAGACAACGGAAACTCAGTGGATGTTGTCTACATAGACTTCAGTAAGGCTTTTGACAAGGTGCCAACTAATAGGCTGCTATTGAAGTTGGCAAACCTTGGTATTGCCGGACCTCTTTTAAAATGGATTAAGGATTTCCTAGTAGGTCGTAGGCAAAAAGTAAGAATAAATTCCAAGTGCTCCATCTGGAGACCAGTACTTAGTGGAGTACCCCAAGGTTCCGTCTTAGGTCCTTTACTTTTTATAATGTACGTTAATGATCTTACAAGTATAGTACAGTCTCCAATGTTATTATACGCTGACGATGTAAAAATTTGGCGAGTAATAACTGGAGACAAAGACGCATTTACTCTTCAGGCGGACTTAAATAATATGATAAACTGGTCTAAAGAGTGGCTAATGCCTATCAACTCGGAAAAGTGTGTCTACATGCACTTGGGGGATTCAAAGGTTAATACGTACAACATAGGGGATGTGTCATTACCCGTAGTCCGGTCTCATAAGGACCTAGGGGTGACAGTGAGCAATGATCTTAAGACGACGGCCCATTGCCGGGAGGTCGCAGTTAAGGGGTTTCGAACCCTCTGGGCTTTAAAAAGGACATTCACTAAGCTTGATACTACCATGTTCACCACATTATACACATCCTTAGTGAGAACTAAGTTAGAGAACTGTGTTCAGGCTGCAAGCCCCTGTTTAAAAGGTGACTCGGACATAATAGAAAAGGTACAGAGGGCAGCTACGCGTGCAATTCCGGAACTCCGGGTTTATCATATAAAGAGCGGCTTGAAAAACTGAACCTCTTTACTCTGTCCTATCGCAGACTAAGGGGAGATCTAATATTGATGTACAGAATACTGAGAAATGATTTCGGACCTAACTTATTCTCTCTCTTTCTTCCCACTAGATCGGGACACCTCAGAGGACATAGCAGGCGAGTAGAAAAGCCAAGAACGAACAAAATACCCGTGGCATACAGGTTTTCACACCGAGTCATCAATACTTGGAACCTGCTGCCTGAAGCAGTGGTGTCCGCACCTTCAATTGACTCTTTCAAGAGAAGACTGGACACTCACAGAAGCATACTAGAAAAGGAATAACATAGGCCGTAGGCCTTCTCTCCTTACTACACAAATCTGAATCTGAAGATCTAAATAAAGGAAGCAGCAACATTTATTTTAACCAGGAAAACTAACTTCGGCCTTCGATGTCTGAAAAAATTGCTCAAAACAAAACAGATTTGCATTTTATAACTTGAGACTAGCCAGCTTGTCTGAAGAAATACATCGTCCTGAGTAGCAGCAAAAACCTAGAAAAGAATGTTGAATCGAAATAAATTTTACGCCAACATTTAGAACATAACAGTAACTGCGGCATTTTAGTACACTGAAACATTAAATTGTGTAGCGACACAGAAAATAGCTGAAAAATCAAAGAACATGGAGTTTCGACCGCCACTGCTCACAAAGATGGCGGGTACAATAATTCCCGCTCTATTCTGACTGGTTGCTAAGCTGACTGCCATGTTCAGGAAATCGAGTTGTCCTTAATAGCAGCCTTCACTGCTTGTTTGGTTAATATCAATAGCACGAGTGTTAATTAGAGGCACGAAACTGGTGAGCCCTATTGAACACAAAGTTAACCTTATTTCTGTTATTAATATTATTTTTTTGACTTAGTTGTAAAAGTAGACCTTGTGATTATGTGTAAACTAAGTTGAGTATATACATAGTTCTTTTTTTTATCTTAAGCTATTCGTGTTTTAGTAACCATTTTCCATGCTAATTCCATTACTATATTGGTCACATTCCTCATGTCAGACTCAATACAAACCAAAAACCTGGGTGATTTGTCACCAGTGGAGATAGACACTGTTATGATTACGAAATCCCGACTTCCAGAATTTGATCGTAATGATCCTGAGTTGTGGTCAGCTCAACTAGAGCATTATTTCACGAGACACAATGTTAAGCTGAAGGAATTCGCTATAGAGATTTGTGTTCTATCGTTCCTCCTTCAGTCGCCAAAGAAGTCCGTGACTTGATTTTAAGTCCACTATCACTACAACCATATACCATCTTAAGACGAGGGATAATGAGCCGTTTATCATTATCAGACAGTCATAGAATCCAAAGGCTTTTCCAAGGAGAACCACTGGGTGGTAGGTCGCCGTCACAGTTTTTACGTGACCTCCAAGTCTTAGTGGGTGATAACAGTGAGTGAGGCAGTCCTAAAACAAGGATGGGTACAGGCCCTCCCATGTTACGTCCAATACTGTTTGGATGCACAAGATCCTGAAACATCCCTATCTCATTTAGCGCGTATAGCCGATAGAATAATGGAAAGAGGTCCTCCAACTGGATCAGGCACGATAAATCACACACAAAAAGTAGAATCAGCAAAAGACCCGGTGATAGAAGGACTCATTGCGAGTGTTAAGAGTCTCACTGAGGCTGTCGCCAGAATGCAAATGGGTCATAGAAACAGAAGCAGATCACCACAACGACCACGATCCAAGTCATAAATGTCCAGACAATGTGGGCAGTTTTGTTGGTACCACTGTAAGTTTGGTGTCAACTCAACAAAGCGCATGCAACTATGTGCCTAGCCTAAGCATAATTCCAAGACAGCAGGAAACGAGTAACCCCTCCCCAGGTTGCGACGACTGAGGAGGGGCGCCTAAACAGTCGCTTGTCTTATGTTAGAGACAGAAACTCGGGCTTGAATTTCTTGGTGGATACTGGCGCTGCTCTTAGCATCATCCCTCAAAATAAAACTGAGCTGAGTCGAGAAACATCCCAAATTACACTACAAGCTGCAAATAAAACTAAAATCGCGACATTTGGGCAGAAAACTTTAACACTAGATTTGGGGCTCAGTAGGCAATTCTCTTGGGTTTTCACTGTAGCCGAATTGGATCTGGCAATACTGGGGATGGACTTTCTAGAGAGATAAGAATTTCTAGTTGACACTAAGAAACGACGCTTAACACTGAAAGAAACGTCGAATTACACAAAAGGCAAGGAAAGTCACATCAGCTCTCTTAACTTGATTCAAACTCCCCCAGTAACAACAGCGAAATTCCAAGATATACTCGCGGAATTTCCAAACTCAACTAAACCAAACCCACAGCCTTCCAAAGACAAACTAAAAGTAAGTCACACTATCAAAACCGAAGGTGCACCGGTGTTTGCAAAACCCAGGAGACTAGCACCAGATAAGCTCAAAATCGCTAGGGCCGAGTTTGATTATATGCTACAACTGGGTATTATCCATCCCTCCGATAGTCAATGAGCATCCCCTTCGCATATGGTCCCAAAGAAGAATGAAGGTGACTGGTGACCGTGCGGGGATTACAGAGCCCTCAACTGTCAAACCATACCAGATAGGTACCCAATACCGCATATCCAAGATTTCACAAACGGTTTACAGGGTATGAACATATTCACTAAAATTGACTTAGTCAGGGCATATCACAATATCCCAGTGGCTAATGAAGATATTCCCAAGACAGCTATTACTTCACCTTTCGGCTTGTTCGAGTTTGTACGCACGCCATTCGGCCTGAGAAATGCGGCGCAGATATTTCAAAGATTCATAAATAACCTGCTTCGAGATATGCCATTTGCACAAGAATATATAGACGATTTGTTAATTGTCAGCCCCGATTTACAATCACACGCACAGCATGTACGAGCAGTGTTAAAAAGACTGGATGGACATGGAATTAACATACATCAAAATAAGTGTGTTTTAGGTGTTCGAACTCTAGAATTTCTCGGTTACACAATAAGCCCAGAAGGGATTACACCGATCAAAGAAGTGGACACTGCAAAACTATGGTCTACTATGATATTAGTACTGCTCTAATAATAGACCTAATCCTAGAATTGTAGATTTGTCATGATATAACTGCCTAATCTATAAGATCTTACGTGGAAGTCACATCATCGTCTACACCAACTCACTGTTCGTATCAATTACCAATACATGATGTAGAACAAGGTTAGGCTAGAGAGGGAACAATATATTTAATATGAATAGAAGATATAAGGTAATATTCAAGGGGACCACGCCTGCATGGCCGAGCCATGCCATCCGATTAACTTCAATTCATTCAATTCCTTGTTCGCGCCTTCTCCATTGTTAGGTATTTCTCCGTGTTGAATATTGAATATCTATTTTCTGAGTAGTCTTGTGTTCAGCTTTGAAGATTGTGTGGTTATGGTCTAATACCACTACAACACCATCAAACAATACTCCATACCTAGTTCTCTAACACAACTGAGAATTTTTCTAGGTCTAATTAACTTTTATCGCAGATTCATACCAGGTTGTGCACAATTAATGCAACCTTTGACAGATTCACTTAAAGGAAAATCAGAAGAATTCAAACTGTCTTCTGACGCCGTCGAATCTATTAAACGGCTTAAAGATAAACTGGCTAAAGCAACTATGTTGATGTATCCGAATTCTCTTTCCCCACTTGCTTTGATGGTGAATGCTTCAGATAAACCAGTAGGTGGTATCCTTAACCAGCTGGTTAGAAACGCCTGGAAACCAACTGCTTTCTTCTCTAAAAGACTCGCTCCAGCAGAGACAAGGTATTCTACCTTCGGGCGAGAACCTCTTGCAATCTACCTGACCATTAAACACTTCCGACACATGTTAGAAGACAGGGAATTTATAGTCTTCACAGATCACAAACCACTAGCGAATGCATTAAAAGCGAGAGCCGATAAATACTCACCTCGAGAAGTCTGATACCTTGACTATATATCACAGTTCACAAGCGATATCCGACATGTCAAAGGTCAGGCCAATCAGGCGGCAGATGCTTTATCTAGACTAGAAATGAACGTGCTACAGCAGTCTACAATAAATTTCGAGACGTTGAGACACGAACAAGAGCAGGATCTAGAATTACAATTTCAATCCGAACTATTTGATAACTTGACTAAACTTCTAAGCTCCAATAGGATACTCTGCATTGCAGATCATCCTCAGGCCAATGGTATGGTAGAACGTTTTCACCGTCAGCTAAAAACCGCTCTTATATAGCACTCAAACCCCAATCAGTGGACAGAATTCCTACCGTTAGTTACGCTGGGAATACGAACATCTGTCAAAACTGACGCACAGTGTTCAGCTGCGAAACTGGTTTTCGGAACAACTCTGAGACTACCAGGTATATTTATTAACCATAATAGTAACAGCCAAAAACTTAATTTAGAAAACCACGTAGATCAACTACGGGACCATATGTCCAAACTTAAGCCAACTAATACTTGTGAACAATCGCACGCCGTATATGTACCTAAAGACCTAAGCAATTGCATGCACGTCTGGATAAGATGTGACGAAATAAAAGCACCACTAAGACCTCCATTTGAAGGTCCTTTCAAAGTTGTCTCGGGAAAATCTAAATATTTCATGATAGAAAAACATGAAAACATCGACTCCATAAGTATTGGTAGGTTAAAACCGGCTTATCTAGATCATGAACCACCACACGTGTTGTTAGACCGTTTAACTGACAGATCCATTACGGAATCGAAATGTAAAACTGATAAATCTTTACAAATGACTAAAACGGTTCGCTGGGCACATCCAATTAGTCAGTCAAGGATGTTGACAGTTTCGGCTGCGGGATAAAATCTAACCACGTACCTAATAAGGTCCTGCGTTTACTTAAAAATAATTTTTTCCTCATTCCATCTCACCTACAACTCCCTAGACCTTTTACTTTTGATGTATAAGTGCTATATTAATTTTTTTCGATACTGGACAAATAAGCTAGGTATTCCGTAACGATGGCTGAGGATATTAATCAAACTCATACAACTAACCCTCGCAAATACAACGAATTCAAAACAACCTAGGCGAATTTTATAATTTCTTTTCTGGTTAATTAACTATGTTGGCTGTACTTCTTATGTATATATATTTTTTTCTCACTTAGATTGGCTATATATATGTACCATATGAACTACTTCTAAAAGTTTTCAGTCGGAGATATGTTTAGTAGCTTGATACGGTCGATGCTACTATTAATAAGTGGTTTTTAGACAAAACATTTTGGATTGAACCATGGTCAATTACTTATTAAGGTTCTCATCATCTTTTTAGGTATGGAAAAATTATGCAATATGTTAACCAGTTTTTTTGCAGCGTGCTTTTTAATGTGATCATATAACCCTGTTTTATTGGCACCACCAATTATTATTAATGGTCTATACAAAATTCTGGTAATTAACACGCGTTATAAAAAACATGTTATGTCAATAACTTATATTTTTTTGTTGGCTTGAGTATAACGTAAAATGGAAATCTACCAAACTTTTAGTGTTTCTATAGTATTATTATTAATATAAACCAGTGACTTGTACCGTTCCAATGAGGCACTTTGACATATCAATCTGTCATGTTTTCTTCATATCTGAGAGAATTACGGGCAACAAACATCGTATGCAAGGGGGTTTTGTGAACAAGGTTGAATAAAGAAGATGTATAGATATCAGATGAGTAGATATCATTCTTAGATTTTAACACTATACAGGTGCATTTGCATGAAGACTTGAGAAAATACCGTGATGATAGTTTTGGACGGTGATAAAGTTCAACTATATTGGGAGTGAGCAACTTACTGAACGGTACTATTGAATGATTATTAGGCTGTATCGTGAATTGAATAATGTTAAAGAATATTGATGAAACTTGAATTTCGATTCTGTGTAATGTACTGAATATCTGCCGGATGGTAGTGATGCTAAGTTATGACAATAAAACTGTCCAGCGTACTGTAGTTTTCAACAGTTTTGAACTAATGCCAACTCGTGCAATGAATACTATCTTCAAATCAAATTACTAAATTCGAACCACTAGACTAGGTAATTATCATACGAACATAAATATATTGTGTCATCTGAATTTTATTTTAAAAAAGAATATCACTGTTGTATGTCTTTTCACTTTACAATGAATTAGCGCACTAATAAAACATACTTTTGCAAGTTTATCTTACCGCATTGATAGTTTGAGTGAACTGAATAAGAGCTTCTAATGTTTGTCCATCCGTATGTAAGTAACCACGATCAATAGACCAAGTTATCTATCAATCGAAAGAAATGATTAACTAAATGGTTGATTAGGAGATCTTGTTGATATATATTCAACAATTTTTAGTTATAAATGGGCAAACTATTAGAACATTCAGAGGAAGTAAATTTCAACTTGGAAGTACTGGGTTAGTTGAAAATAGACATTAACACCGTTGTGTACGCTGTGAAATGCATAAGTTAATTTGATTTGAATAGTCCAGGGGTATTTGGAAGGTTTGTTTATCACAAAGAGTCTGTCTCACTTAAACTGTGCAGCAAAGCCTAAATAGTGCAAACCCTGACAGTTGTCTCTAGACCAACCAGCCTTTCCGGAAAGCTTTTATAAATAACAGTAGCTGGGATGGGGCACCATTGAAATAATACTATAGCAATTCACTTCCCTTAAGACCAAGATATCTGTATTAATTAACAATTTGATGGCAAACAATGTAATTTCATCCCACAATACATTGATCATCAATAACAGCCAGACATGATTTTGTATTCTAATTATTGTAATAACCGAAACCAGTCTCAGTCTGAATTTCAAGTAAAATGTTCAATCATTTAATATTATTCTATCAGTTATATCAATCATTTGGAAACCAAAAGTCAGTTTTAATGAAGTCAAAATCAGTCAGCGAAGTAGAATATGTGATCTGTTTGACGTCAGTACAATGGTTCAAAATTGACGTGCTCACCATGAGACCCAAAGATCCTAATTTGTAAGAGAGCACACTACTGAGAAGTTTCATAATATTACAAAAATAGCTAACCACATATGACACCATCTCAGCTTGTTCTTCAAAGAATTGAAACTAATTCATCTATGTTGGGAAGAACAAACCAACTGCCAGATGAAGAAGAAATTAGGAAAAGACGCCGGGAGTGGGTAGGATATACATTGTGGAGTCCTGAAGGAAACGAAGGTCAAAGAACACACTACGTTGAGGGTTGGAAACAATAGTTGGAATGATGAATAGCAGTTGAAAAGAGCTGGAAAGGATTGTCTATGTTAGAACTAGATAGAGAATGCTGGTGGTCGGCCTAAGTCCCTTCATGAGAGGTAGCAGGCTTAAGTAAGTAAGTAAGTAAATGAAACACTTAAACACACCTAAACATTTCAGGTAGAAGTAAATCATTGACTATAGGGGGTAAAATTACTCGTTACTTACCTTGGTACATTGTTGATGATAAGTTACTGAGTTACAACAGATTTCTAGTGGATTTGAATGATCAGTATCAAGTTGACAGTTGTTTAGACTGCAGATGACACAGGTATTCAGTGTTTGACAACGCTTTTACCAGTAACACCTCCTAATATAATTCGTTCCCACCCAGAGAAATCAAAAGACAGAGTCGAGGAGATCGGAAGAGTGTATTTGGCGATTAGCAATATATCGGAATTCTCTGATCTAATCTGGCTAGCGATTGCGGTAGATGTTGAGCACGGCGTTACCACACGTGATCTGGTGCGGATGCATGACCGAGCGCCTTCAGCTAGATGAGTCCACTAAAACATATGGTCAGCATCCAATGTCGAAAACTTACAGGCTATTTATTTTGGGGATTTATTTACCGCTACAAGACAATCTTTGAATAATTTCTGTTTATTATCATTATTGTTACTGTGGTCATATGTTGAACTGACAAATGCATTGGTATATGTGGAGGCCCGTAATTTTTTCGTCGTTTAGATCGAACGATGTTGTCGAAAGGGCTCTCCACTTTAGTGGCCCATGGATCTGACTCCAATTAGATCGTATGAATGTTTGTTATCCTCGCACATAGTCATCGACTTAAATCGCGATGGTCAATAACGGAATTAAATAAGTCGAATAACGAGAATGGACTTTTGAATATATATATTTTGCATACAAAGTGAATGGAATAGAACGAAGCAAAACGACGCGCAGTGGAGATGGTGGGTAAGCCAACTCCCATTTAACCAAGCGTTAATCAATATTTATAGTTACACAAAAGTAAGTTACAGACATGTGATAAGAAATGTAAACACACCTACGCGATCATTATAAAATCAGTCAAGATTGATAAGCGAATAAATAACAAGGTCAGAATGTGACTCAAGTAGAATGAATAGATGGAGCTGTCCGAAAGCTAGAATAAGATATGTGGGCTCAACATAATAATAGATACTACATATATTCTCCTGGACGTTCAGCGAAAGTTCGTCTTGTTAGTAAACAACCAACGAAACATCCTATTCAATGGTCCTTATTTAAAGAACGAAAATCAAACAGGAATTATTAAGCAATGTCATATACAATGTCATATTTGAAATGAATGATAGTGAGGTCGTCGAAGGATTGTGGAGTGTTGTGTGGTTGAACGCATCTCCATGAGATCGTAGATCTAGTTCCCGTGCCTACCAAACAATCTTACTTAACAAAACATACACGAAACTTTGAAGAGAGAGTTGAAAATTTCAACACGTATTAAGGAGCTCCACAATCATACAGATTAACATATAGGTTTTTGGACAGTCGATAATTCTTCATAGAACTGGACAGAATATACTTAATCGGTCATGCTGTCTTTTTAAATTTGATAATAGAGTACCATCAACAAGTAACATTAAATATGAATCCTTATTTGAAACATCCCGATATTTGTTTTAAACGTTTGATATCGTGACATTTAACTTAAAATTACAGTATAGTCTGCTGCATGGCCACTGATTAGAAACCAAATATAAACATGTATAATATCACATTAACGAATAGGATTTGTGTAGATCGTTGAATTTCAACCCTATATTCTAATTGTATTCATGTGATCATTACTGACTAGTTTCGATAAATGATTCTTGGATTTCTAACAAGAAGCTAGGACCAATGAAGTTCAAGTGATGCGAGACAAATATCATGAATGGGAATGGAGGATGGTCGTGTGATATCACGAAATTATTAAATTGTGTTC